GGAGGGAGGAGAATGGGGGGGGGGGGAGGGAAGGAGAGATAGGGAGGACAATCACGCCTTCGTCAATCGAAATGGGAAGTGTTCCCAACTAACGTCACACGGGTGTTTCTACTTGGGTAAGCCTTCCACAACCTCGTTTCAGACGCCTTGTAATAACTACAACTAAATGCGTTTAAATCTTTGAAATCAAAAAAGTTCTACCTAAAATAAAACTAAGGTGATCATAAGGACAACGGTAGGAAAAAGAAAACAATTTGAATGCTTTTTCAATAAAATCCCCAAAGACCCCTCTATGGGGATAATTTTGGGATACAGAAAGGTTCTATATGGAAAAGCGTTAACACCTCGTCGTCTCTCATAGGATATCCATATCAGGAACATATCTCCTGATATTTCGTTATCCATCTTGGAAAAGGAGCAAAAAAAGACCTAGTTGGGGATATTCCAGATTCATTTGTCTGTTATACGACGGAATTTATATCTGAAAAATTTTCAAAATAATTCCAAGGCAACATCTTGTTTTAAGGATTTAAATAGCTTACAATACGAAAGTTTGGAATTTATAAACCCTTTTCCTCAGACCTAGCAAACACCTATCCTACACAAGAGTTATAAAAAACCTTCGCTTTAAGGTTCGTCATAAAATTATGGGAGAAAGTGTCGATAGTTATAGTAAATATTTATTTTAAATGAGGCTAGTCTGTAGTAGAATAGAAAACCACAGCAACTTGGAAGAAATACTAATAAGAAACATTAGGAATACCCCTCCAAAGGCCAATTATCGCATCAGTCCCCCTCGTGCAGTGCCTCACCATCCGCGTCCGTTATCAGTTGGAAGGGAGTCAAACCCGACGATGCATCCTTTTTTTTGTTTCTATTAAATTGGCTCCTTGAGAAACCTGTTTTAGAAAAATGGATGATTGGAATGACTTGATGATAAATTTTGAAGATATTACGTTTTATTCCAAGATATATAGTAAATGTTCTTTTTCCTCAGAGGTATAGCCAAATGGCCTACAAGTAGTTGATAAAAATCCAAAAAATGATAACCCTAATTATTCTAAGGAAAGGACTTTGAAAAAGGAAAAGCCTTGGAAATTAATTTTATTGGGGTATACTCTCTCTAATCCTGAAAGACAGAGAAAGGACATCTAATATTAATAATTAGAGTCGGTAGTTGGTAAGGAAATTGTTTTGTGAATAACTTATACATATGTGTCTGTTAAATAAATGAAAAATCATTAGAGAGTTATATGCAGCTTATAATGGGTCTATTTGTTTGTAAAAAGTTAAGTTTATGTTGACAAAAAAGACTTTTGAACAAAAGTTAAATAAATAAATAGGTATTTTGTTATCCCAAAGAGGGAAAAGAAATCATAAGATTTCTGGGAATGTCTTTGGTAGAATATTCGACTTTAGGCATTAAAATTTCTATTCCAAATGCTTTTGATTTATGCCGATATTCGAACCAAAATATATAGAGTTTTCTTTTTTTTGAGTGAATATAAATACTTAGGAATAACTATCTTAAATGTAGAAAGGAAAACTATAGAACCAAAAGCAATGTAATAACATAAAGGAATATTTTCATTTCCATAAGTATTTTTTTCTCAGGTGTAAATACCAGGAGGTGGATGATACGGATGATTTTTTATATATTTCAGTTCATTTATTTGTTAGAATACTCTCTCATTTCAACCATATTAAACAATATTATATTAGGGTAGAGAAACAGAAGGAAATAAATTTAAATTCGGAACACTCCTGAAAAAAAAAGTAAACATAAATAATGATGATAATAAAACTATATAGGAATCAGTGCTAGTTCGAGTCACTGAGAGTAGCTCTTTTTACTTCATAAATTTGACCTAAGGATTTTATTATTAGTAATGAGATCATAAATTTTTATTATGTTTATATGCACTTTCCGAAAAGCCTGTTTGAGGACGGGAATTTGCTTTAACGGGTGTAATCCAATAACACCCAACGTGCCTACAGCCCTACATACTAGTCATAATCACAGAAAAAATATATATCTTTACGAAGATAACTTTTAAAAGAGTAAAGAAATTAGAAAATGGAAAAACAATACGTAAAGAAATTAGAAATAGAACCTTTATTGATGGGGTTGACTTATTTCTATGAGTTCTTGTCTCACATGTGAGCCCGTTCACCTTGATTCTCTTTTTCATTTGGTTTACTGCCAAATAAACGTGGATAAGGTGAGAAATGTTAAATTATTTCAAAATAATCTGTAGATATAATAATAAAAATAACAACTAAAGGGCCACAACTTCTTCATTTTAAACACAACACGGCGTTAAGCCCTTTACAGAACATATTCAATGTGTGAAATAATAAAAGGG